ATGAAAAGCACTGATGTAAACTAGCCTGAATCTCCAGCTCATCTGTTTATGATATATAAAAACAGTGGCGCTGGGATTCTGTGGAGAAGAAAATAAACTAATAAATCAAGCAAATCCTGCTTCTCTGTAAAAATCTCACCTGACAAATAATTCTGCAGAACTTGAAAGCTGGCAAAAATTTCCATGCCACTTGTGTTTCTCCTATCAAGACTTTAGATTAAGGAGTTTGGGGGAGGGGGGAAGAGAGAACCTCTGGGGTCGGTCAATAATTGCAGTTTTTGCAGCGTCCTTCTGCCACTTATCCCTCCTCCCCCTCTCCGCCCCTTCCACATCCATACCGATCTGTTTGCTCATTATCCTTTCCGGCTGCCTGGAGGGATGCCTGATACCATCAGATCAGACCCAGGCCTCCTGGGAAGTAGAGAAGGCAGGCAGGCAGGCAGGCTGCCCTAGCCAAAAGCTTCAAGGAGCTCAAAAAACAACACCGCGCTTGTGTCTTCTTCCTGCTTCAGTCTCTCAGCTAAGCTGCTTCCAGCTTTCAATTAATCTCCGCCTCCAATTCTCTAGGACCACCCATAGCCCCAGTTTGATTATTTCAGAGGTTAATTGATTTTATTTTTATTTTTGGTTCCCCCCCCTTTTAAATCAGCACTGCAAAGCTTCAAGCTCCACCTCCAAAGGGGGGAGAAAAAAAACAACAGCCCGGATCTGGATGTTTTCGTCCTCTCTTGCTTTACTCTTCTTTTGCTTGATGGTTTTGATTTTGGATGCAGACACTGCAGGAACACGATAACAAGCAGAAGTGGTGGAGGATTCAGAGAGATGATGGGAGAAGATAGAAAGACTTAGAAACTGCAGTGATGAGATCCTTAGATCTCTAGGTTTTTGAAGATGTCTTGGTGCCTCAGGTAAGCCACATTTCTGTATCTCCCACTCTTTCCCTCTTGTGTTTATATGTTAGTTTCAGTGCTACAATAAATTTCAGACATTTTTTGTAGCTAAGAAAGAGCCTGAAGATAAAGAAGAGAGAAGGAGGACAATATCACCCATGAATTACATTTGGGCCTTTAGCTTCAAAAGTGATATTTCCTCCAGTCAACACTAAACTATTCCAGTCTTCCTCATGTTTTGATTTTCTTGTGTCGAAGCTGATCTGTTGCCTTGTGGTTTATCTGTGGTCCCCTGTTAAAGGTTTCTTTCTGATCCCACCTGGAAAGGAGAGTTGCAGAGATTCCTAGAAGTCTGATAGGAAAAGAGAAGGGAACGGATCTACTGGAGGAGATTTCAAAGCAAATCAACAAATGGATAAAAATCAAATAAATAAAAAACAAAATAAAAAAAACAAATGGATAAAAAAGACCTCCAATGTCCTTTCCAGCTCTATTCTGATTGATCGATCAGGGTTGACTTCCTATTACGAAGTAAAGGCAAGGCAGGGGACAGACCAGTACTTTGCTACATTTGAAAGTCCCCACCCTTTGCAGATTGGTGTGTTATAATTTGGCATTCTATCAGTCATTCTTACTATGAAGTCTCCATCATTTTTTAGTAACTCAGTTATATTTGTTATCTTGTGGAAAATAAAATTTCTGTTGAAATGAAGATAATATTTTGAAGACGAACGACTTATTTCCCTTTGGCACAGTCTCAGTTTTATTTCTCTGCTCAACTTTATTGGACTTCTTCAACTGCAAGGGATGACTGTATTAATCAGCAGGAATCCCACAAAAAACTCAACAGAGTACTTTCATACTTCTTAATAAACTTGCTTAGTTTTGCACTGTTCACTAAATGAAATCCCCGGCTGTGCTTCCAAACCACAGGTTGGTGGGTGGAATTCCATCTCTTCTCTATTCTATTGCCTTTCACCAATCCAGGAAGAGATTTTAAACATCCAGTTAATTCTCCCCTTTCCCCTCCCCCCTCCCCATGAATTGGGAAAGAGATGGTGCAGTGACTGCAGTGCTCATGTGGATTGGCATGGAGGAGGGAACCTGGTTTGGAAGTCCAGAGTGGCTTTCTGACATTTGCTTCTTCCTCTCAATCTGCTCTGCAAGGGTGTTGTGAACTCAGTAGCAGAAAAGTTCCACAGAAGCTGAGCTGTTTCTTGGACAGCAGCTTGCACTCTTTTGCAAAGAAGACATGGATTAAGCTGATGGGTTTGATGCTATTGTACACGAGGGAGAGAAGAGGGAGTGTAAAGCTAGGCCTTGTGTGTGCTGCTGGCCTATGTATTTCTTTTCTGGCAAGCTTTCTAAAGGATAGATTTGTCTTCCATTTCCTTTTACCGAATTTTCTTCCTTTCCTCTCTTTATTTTGCTACAAGTGTCCCCAAAGCATTCCCTTCCCTGTTTGCCTTTTCTTTTTGCTTCTCTCCCTCTCTAGTGATGCCAGATACCTGGGAGTTTTGAAAGCACTGAAGGCAGGAGAGTATCAGAAATGAAAAAAAAAAAACAACACCAGGCCATCCTGTTTCCAACTCATGCCTAAATGGACTTTGGTGGTGGATACATTTGGTAGCAAGAGTGTCTGGACGAAGCCCCAGTTATGTAGGAGATAACAACAAATACATTTCCAGAAACAGGGCAATATCCCATACACATAGACAGTTCTCTATAGGGATATCCACTTGTCTGAATTACATTCACCTACCAATGTTCCAAAGGAAAACTCTCTGCATAGAAACCTATTCTACACCATTTCTTTCTCTCTCTCATACACACAAACACAAAATTTTACTGGCAACTGCAGTAAACATAAACATGAGTATACAACAAGTACTTATAAGAGAGCACCTCTTACTCCATTTTGAGACAATCACAGAGATCCACAAATGATTCCTGTTTGCAAGGATGCTGTGTAGACTTCAGCCTTTTTCTTTCCTGGCTCTGACAAAGCTAGTAAGGCCTTTTGGATGCCCTTGATTCCTCTTGATGATATCCCTCTTTCCTCTGTTTGTCTGTTTTCCATCTTCTTCCAACCCTAACGCACCTCCTGCCCTCTCTTTCCTGCCCAGGAGATTCCATCTCATTTCTCTAATGGGCAGGCCTAAACAGTGGCTGACATGCAGCCCAGACATGTGAGATCCCCCCCTCCTTTCTCCTCTATATTCCATTTGATCTCCAGCTTTCCCATCAGGCTAAGGAAATGCACAAAGCTTTTGTGTCAGAGAGAGGGGTGGGGTTAGATATGGAAAATTGGCCAGCGGGGTAGCCTGGCTGATGTTAACTGTTGTTTGATGGAGTGGAGAGGCCTATCAAGCCACAGTGTCATGCAAATATTAAATGCATTCTGTACAGTACAGAATGAATTTCCACCCCCATACAAGAAAGGAATCAGCCTCACAGCTTTAAGATTGGTATGTTCCAGCCTTCTTTATTAATATGTTCCAGTCCTGTTTGCCTTCCTTTCCCCTCCACTCCCCAGTCCACAAAGAAGCAGCATATGGGGTGGGGGTGGGGGTGGGGGATGTGTGGCAGTAGGTGAGAAATTAAGGGTTGACTTATTTAGATGCCTAAATCAAGGCATTTTCAGAATGGCTGGAGAGCTTTTTTATTTTTGCATTGTTTAATTCTGCACATGCTGGTTTCCCTTTGGTTTTTTACCTCACACTGCTGCTGCTTTTATCCTATCCAAATTACTAAGCTGATTTAGTAAGAATTTCTCATTGTTATTTACATTTTATGTTTTCAGTCAGCCGGTATCCCACAAAGATTTCTATGAAACCTGTACTCAGGAATTATTTTCCATTGGTTTCTAAGTTTTGATTCAGTGCTAGAATTTTCAGGAAACTTAAAAAAAAACTTTTAATGTTAATCTTTTGCCAGTCACTAAGGTTTTTTTTTAGTGTTATACAGTTATGGCACTTTGTTATAAATAATGTAAGGACTTTTTTTTTACAATGGAAATGTAGGCTAGAAATATTGTAAAATAAGTAACTCTAGATTATTTGATAGCCTGTCCAAACTCTAATAAATAAAGCATATAATAGAAATTCTCCCTCTCTCTCTTTCACACACACACACATACACATATTAGTCCTTTAAAACTGATCATGAAGAATTCCTAAGTATTCACATACTTATATACCGGTAATTGTTTACAAGAAAATTCATTGGAAAACCACACTACTTGGACAGGCACCACCATTTGGGAAGGCAGAAATTGATGGTAAATTTCAGCAGGTATGCATAAAAAAATGTATTTAAGGTCATGTACAGCATTTAGACTATAGATTACTCTCCCTTGCTGTATTTGAAGCTTTTTTTTTGTTTAAACATAGATTAAAGGGGAAAAAACCCTATAAATAGAGAACAGCCTGTTGCAAGCGCCTGTCAATGGTCAGACTCTAGGCTGAAGCTTCCTGATGGGAAAACTATTGATTATTTGTTACATTTATGTCTTTCTGTATCCTCTTTTCGGGGACATGTGAGGCCGTTCATCCCAGAGATGGAGTGTTTACAGCCTCAAGGTCAGATACAGATCTATGGGTTTTTTCTAAAGTTTTTGGCTAGAAATGGTACCCTTATCCTCACACATAAACCACTTTGTAGGATTATTTTCAGTCTGTCCGTTGGGGCCACAAACAAGTGAAATGAACCTAATGCAACCTTTACATTGAGGCCATCTCCTAATATAAAGCATCATCCAGAGTTGCTGCCTAGTAAACCTTTTTTTTAAAAAAACTGTAAAATTTTGACAATAAATTGTTTTATAATTGTAATTTATTTATTTTTCAGTGTTAAGAAACAAATTTCATTCAAAAATTTAGGAGAAGTAATTGTTAGTATGGCATTACAAGAGTTGGCCTAAGAATGTATTATTGGAGATGCACCTTTAAACAAAGCAGGGTTTGATCTGTTTCCTGAACTGGGCCAGAATTGCTAATTTTTTGCTTTATTTCTCCATATTCTGGAGTTCATTGAAAGACTCAGTTATGGTTTTTATGTACTCTCTCTTTCTCTCTCTCTATGTTGATCCCTTTACAGATTGACTTCATCATGTCTTCCTCCAAGCTCCAAGATGCAGATGAAATATTTGGTAAGTACTGTATGCCTTTCCATCTTCATGGATCCATCTCTCTTCGATCCAGCGACTGCTTCCTTAGCAGAAATATATGACTCCTACTGAGATCCTTGTTGCAGATAATATTCTGATATCAGGGCTGGAAGGGCAAAAGAGATGCATGAAGTTACTCCAAACCCACATAATTTCCAACCTCCGCTCCCAGATGTACAGGAACTTAGGTTTTCAGTGAGGGGGAACAAGATGGAGCAAACAACACCTATATGCAAATGCAGAGATTTGCATAATTGTTTCAGCTATCTGAGTGTAGGTGTGCCATGGTATCATTTGTACAATGATATCAGAGGGTGTGTACTGTCCTTTCGGGCACAATTGCAGTTTGCGAGTTGGTGTGATGGGGGAACTCATAGCATATGATTTGCATATGCCCAGAGATATTCTCACCATATATCCACTTCATAGAGTCATTTAAAGTTTATGCCAAATTCAGACTGGCAATGGTTTTTCTTGCAGCAGAAGTTTATGAAGAAATTTGGGACCAGCAAGTTGATCATTAAGTAAAGCTATCACTAAGTGAAACCATGACTGTATAGACCTATGAAGGTCATAAATGCAAGAATTGGTCATAAAGTTACTTCTTCATCACCATTGTAAAACAAAGCAGTTGCTAAACAAGGATATCCTGCATTTTGAGGAGGTTTGAGATGAACTGCATCTTTAAGGCAAAGCAGCACTTTTTCACTGAGGTGGAATCGCTATGACACTTTCCTCACATATAGCCTAATAGTATTATACCTAGCCCAGGGGTCTGCAACCTTGACAACTTTAAGACTTGTGGACTTCAGCTCCCAGAATTCCTCAGCCAGCATAGGTTACAGACCCCTGACCTAGCCCAATGTCCAATTTGATTGGCAGAAGCTCAGCTTTGTGGGAGCCTTGCCACAAGAGTTTCTGAAGGCTGAATTTGGGCAAGATGGTGAAAAATCACGGGGCTTATTTTTTGTTAGAATTCCACATCTCGGGGTGTGTGTGTGTGTGTTAGGCCATGTTGCTTGATATGGCTTAGCTATAATACTTAGCATGCATAATGGCCCTTCCTCCTATTTTTTCCACAATCGCAACAGTATGAGATGGGTTGGACTGAGAGAAATTGACTGGCTCAACCCAGCTAGCTTCCATGCCTGTGGAAAGAGTAGAAATTATAGACCAGTGATGGCGAACCTTTTAGAGACTGAGTGCCCAAACTTCAACCCAAAACCCACTTATGTATTGCCAGGTGCCGGGCGGGTGTGGCCACCAGGTGGGTGTGGCCCGCCAGGTGGGCGTGGCTACAGTGTTCATGGCAGATGGGTGGGCGTGGCCAGGGTGGGCATGGTCAGCTCGATGTTGTTCCTGGGGAGGGACGCCTGTGGGGGCCGGGCAGGATTGGGGGAGATCCAGGGATCTCTGGCGGGTGGGGCAGTGGGCAGGTTCTGCAGGGTGAGGCGAGGCAGGGCAGGGGTGCCATGTTGCAGGGCAAGGCGAGGCAGGGGCCGGGGCAGCTGCTGCCTGACACCATCGGCCCCCACACACAGAGGCCAGCAAGCGCATGGGTGCTGGGATGCATCTGGCCACGTGGGACCTCGGTAAGTTAGCGGGCGGCTGGTTGAAGAGGACAATTGCCATTTCCGGGGCATGGCGCGCGTGCCCACAGAGAGGGCTCCGTGTGCCGCCTCTGGCATGCGTGCCATAGGTTCGCCACCACTGTTATAGACTCTGCAGTTCCTTGTTTACTATCTTAACCAGTACAACGAAATGGCTCTAATTTTTTGTGGCCTATTCTCCCAATAATCTTTGGGTCAGTATTCTCATAAAACAGCTCTCTTCCAAAATTCATGTGCTTCAATTCCTGACAAAATTATTGAACAACTGTGCACACTCAAAACTGCATAAGCATTCATTAGACATTATAGAGCTATACAGTTCTCGTGATGTGACCAATTATCTCCATGCTCAACTTAGGAAATAGCTGGAAAGTAAAGAAACCAACCAGTACATTTTGATATTGTTGGCATGACCTTCTGTACTGCCTGCTGGGCATTTTCCATTTCTACACTTTTCAATTCAGCAGGCTGGAGTTTTGAGGGCAGAGGCAGAGAGATTGTATTGGATTTTGGAGGGCATCTTTTAGTTTGTGACCCTGCCTGGAATTATAGCACCGAAAAACATAAATATGTAAGCCATCCAGAATTGGACTTAAGATGGACAGCTGTACAAATAGCTTAAATAAATATATATTCTCTCCTGGGTTGCAGGGGAGGGAACTTGCATATTTTTAAACAGGTATTTTTTAATTAAAATTTCATAAAGTATATGAAAATAATTTTTTGGGAAACTCACAAACCAGTGTAAATATTTTGGAGGACAAAAGGGCAGGGCTCAGTTTAAACAAACAGAACTATTGGGGCTGGTAGAAGTTTTAAAAATATCTGTAATTAAAGTAACTAACAGGTTTTCAGTGAATTTCTGATAATTGGTTTAAAGGTACTGCTATTTCATAAATACATCCTGATCAAAATTGATATAATTTATGTTGATTTTAGCAAGCTACAAAAACATTGTGATCTTGATTCAAAACTGCAGTTGGTCACTATTATTCAATTAGTAGTCATGTCTGTGAGGCTTTGGCATCATAACTGAAAGACTTGATGCCAAGAATCAAAGATGTGATTGCAATATTGAATTAAACAGAGAAAAGAAGACAATCATTTCCAATTTTTGTAAAATAATCAGCTGCAATAATATTATTAAATCAACTCCAAGGGCCTTATTTAATTTCAAATCTTCAATTATTTAATCTGTTTTCGTTTTGGAGAATGGTTCATTAACACTCACTGTGAATTTCTGGTAAAGGAATGATTTTAAGAATCTAAAATATAGTCTGTTTAGATCTCTGTATTAGGACATGTATAATTAAGCATAAAATAGTACGGTGTTTTATTTCTCCACCTCCATTTATATTCAACGTATTCATAGTTTTTCATTCCTTTACCAGAAATTCACAGTGAGTGTTAATGAACCATTCTCAGGTTAACCTGAGCTTGTTCCCCCCCCCCCCCCCCATTCAGATCCTAGTAACAAGACTTTCTCTGTATTTACTGTTCAGCTCAGGATGGAGATGCTGTATATAACTGGGTGCCATCAGCGTATTGATGATACTTCAGTGCTTGTGGATTATTACTTTAGCAACTTCATGTAAATGTTGAAATATGAAGTCTTTTGATGTTACACAATCTTTAATCTGGATTACATTTAATTCCAGTAAAAATGTGCTATTTTGCTTACTTTCCATCTTTGTGTCCTATCAGATTTACACATTGTTTTATCTATAGACTAATCAAAGTCAGAGCTAGTCTTCATGAGAATGCTTCTAGTTTTGACAATGTGCTTCTATTCTCACTACATGGGAACACGAGATCCTACACAACACCAAGGAGTCCTTCCTTCATTATTAGCTTTTTATTTCCCTCATCATTATATTTTTATTTCTATTTCTTACCCACCTGAAAGCTGCCTTAAAAACGGTGGATGTTAATGTAATAATTTAATTAATGACACTCAGAATAAAGCTGAATTTTATTTAGCATAGTAAGCAAGTCAGGTTTACTCTTTCTGAGCCCATGTAACATATTCATACTCTGGCAAGAATACCACAATTTCACTCAGAATAAATCACACAAACCAAAATGAAGCTCAATTCTGCTTTTCTGCCCGCTTAGACTACACCTCAGTTATGGCAAATTACTTACACCTGCAAGTTAAGACGCTGGGTCTCACTACCCTTGCCATACTGATGGCTTGGGTATTTTTTTCCGTGATGATAGATTCAGAAAATCCAGTTGCATTAAGAGGAAAATGGGGCAAGGTATTGACTTATGCCATTTGGCAGGAGATGGAAAAATCTGTTCCTTGATTCTGTGTGAATGAGATAGAGATATAAACAGATTTTCCATTCTCTGCAAAAGTAATGCCTACATTAAGTTTATTCAAATATACCATTCCATGGGATAGCAATATTTGAGAATTTTGCAATTTACATGGAATTCTCAGCATAGATTTAATTTTCTCACATCTGAAACTGATAGTGCAAGAGTTCTCTGGCCAAGAATATTCATAAAGTCTAAATGTTAGTTTTCCAAAATTCAGCAGGTCCTATTTATTTTTCATGCTCACTGCTGTTTGATATTTCATGCCCTTTAGTATTACGGTTCCATATTTTTTTATTCTGTGTGATAAATTAAATAGTAGCTAACTCAATACTCAAAAGATACTGGTACTCAGCTGTACATAGGACTATACATGTGCACACAGAGAAAGATCCCTGAGCATGCACACAATTTATCTTATCTGAAAGTAACCAGTTTACTTGATTCATTCAGTGCATGGAATGAAATAGTATCTAGGGAAAATGTTCTTGAAATGGTAGGTATATACAGCAAATGATGCAATTGTGTCTCTGCATGTGGAAGAGAATTTGAATACTTAAGAGCTCAGGCTGTGTGTGTGTGTATGTGTATAAAAGAGAGGGGGAAAGAGATGTATAATGGTATTATTAATCTATGAATTGTACTGTATCCATGAATAGGAGCTACCCACAAATATGTGTGCAGTGTAACTTACCTGTCACTCTTCTTATCTGTTATAAAAGCCACTTTGGGAGGATATGATGACTGATAACAGAGCAGCAGGAGCAAGATGCTTATTTCCTCAATAAAACGTTCAATAAGAAAGAATAAACGAAAGTATTTCTCTGAAATAATTAGGATGCAATTCATCACTTGCTTGCTTGGGAGTAGGCTCTGTTGAATCTTCTAGAAATAGAACAGAACAAAATAACAGTTGGAAGGGACCTTGGAGATCATCTAATCCAATCAGGTAGGAAACCCTATTCCATTTCAGACAAATAATTCTCCAGTCTCTTCTTAAAACTTCCAGTGATGGAGCATCCACAACTTCTGGAGACAAGTCGTTCTATCCAATATAGAATGTGCATTTAGCATAAATGAATACTTGGGTGAGAAGATTGCATTACCATCAATGTTTATCAAAATCAGTTGACATCCAATTGAGAAAGGTGACTTTCTCAAAATTAGTAAATGTGGCATGTTGTGCATTAGTTCATTTAATTTCTCAAAAGAAGTACATTTTGAGATAAAATAGGTCTTGATTGTTCACCTTCTTCCATCTCTTTGGAATTAAAATGTAATGTCTATGTAGCTATATATCATGTAACTTAGCTCTTCAGATTTTGTAGAATTGTATATCTTGGCAGCTCCAGCTTGTGTGGGCAATGGAAAAGAATGCTGGGACATATAATTTAGCAATATTTGAAGGATTATAGGTCCTTCACCTCTGATCTTCCTCTTCTATTTTGAAAACAATGGTATATTGAGATAATTCACATATGACTGGAATAGTGGGACAAAGCAAGCTGAAAGTTGTGATACAGTTAATTAGCACATCTGATCTCAGATTCTACATTTTTTATTCAGGTGTAATCCTATCAATTCTGTGTCCTTCATCTGCTGTCTTTTGATTCAGAAAGTTAACTTTTGTAGGGAAAATCAAACCTACCACTCTAAGGCAGAGATTGATCTTTGGCCTGGGAAACATCATATATGTATCCTCATTCTAGCAATATTACACACTGAACTTACAAAGGAGGGTACAAATAACCAACATGACAATTTCCATTAGGACATAGTAAGAGATGCAGCTAAAGTCAAGGGCACCATATAGTGAATCTAATACACAACAGCTTGTCATCTGGATGTGACCTTGTGTGCAAGAAATCACTATAGGTGGGTGAGCATATGCTTGATGGAGAGCAAGTACCGGTAGGAAGTGTGGAGAAAATTGTCTTGTTGATGCCATTGCTCAATGGTCAAGAATTTCCATGGAATCAGGATCTGTAATACTCCATCAGTCCCATAAGAAGCCTGTTTAGTATAATATGCCATCTCCAGCTTTCCATCGTATATTTATAAAAGAGGATGCTGGATGTCAGTGCGTTCCTCTCTTCTCTGAACACTCTTTCTGTATCTTCCCTCCCTTTTAACCCCTTCATTCCATTGCCGTCTTCTTTGCGTCTCTCCTGGGGGGTGATTCATTTGAACTGCCTCCTCCTCCCTTTCCTTCTCTTGGCTGCATTTGCCCTATATGCTGTCTTGTACACTTGCTCCTTGTCTCTGTGCTGTTCTTACTTCCCTCTGCCTTTTCTTTATGATCCCTCCATTTCTCCCATTCTCTCCAACGCTCTTTTTTGCCTGCCCTCTCTTTCTGGCCCCTGCCCCATTCTGCTCCCCTTCCCGTTTCTCTCTTTCACTCCCAGATTTTAATGATGTGATTCCAGAGACCCAGAGGCTGGACAGTAGCTTACAGAAGGCCCGTGCCCAACTCTCAGCCAAGGGCAGGAGACAACGCCCCTCTCGGTCCCGCTTGAGAGACAGTGTCAGCTCAACAGAAGGTGATGATATCCTGGACAAGAAGGTTGGTGCTCAGATGCTACTCACTTATATTGCTCAAGATCTATTGATGCAGCCAGTTATGATATTTTGTGCATTTCACACTAACAACATGGTTTGTTTGACTTCAGCTTAACATGTTAAACTAATAATAAAACAAATACAGTGTACTCTTGATGTACCATTTAAAAGAGAAAAAGAATCAGATATTTTAAAAGTACTATTTTATTATTATTATTATCTTTTTACTCTTTAAAAAAACAAAAATCTGTTTTCAAAAAAATGATTATCTATGAATGAACATATAATTACTGAAAATATACAATTATTACTCAATATAAACATTAGTAATAACAATAGCAATAGCATTTAGATTTATATACCGCTTCACAATGCTTTACAGCCCTCTCTAAGCAGTTTACAGAGTCAGCATGTTGTCCCCAACAATCTGGGTCCTCATTTTACCAACCTCGGAAGGATGGAAGGCTGAGTCAACCTTGAGCCGGTGAGAATCGAACTGCCAAACTGCTGGCAGCCGGGAGTCATCAGAATTAGCCTGCAGTACTGTATTCTAACCACTGTGCCAGCACAGCTAAAAAGAGTGTATTAAATGAGTTTATGATTTAAAGAAGTGTAAAGTATTGAATTTAATGGCAAAATCTCCACTGTATTCTTGTTTTAAAATGTTTTTAACAAGAAGAAAGGTCTGCTGTTTTTGCAAGGATGTCATGGTATATGTCCCAATTTTGAAATTGTTGTGGGTCGTTATGGACACAACTGGATGGGTAGCTAATTTTAGGACAATCTGTGTACATTTACAGCAAAGCTACTAGAGGTACTGAGTAGGAAAACCCCACGATCACTTTCTAGCTTCAACATCGTGAGCTGAATCAGAGCAGAGAGATCATCTGGAGGTTTCATGGCTTTTAAAACAAGTTCCCAAACAGAACCTTTGTGTTCTGCAATCAGTTTCTCTACAGCTGATGGCCATATTCAACAGGGAAAGGTTTTTCAATTTATTTAATATTTTTATATAGTTGATGGGGAAATGGTTTTTATTTACGGATAATGAGCAATCAAGAAATGAAACAAGTTTTAAACATTAAGATACAACAGGCTTAAAAAGCCATGTCACTATTTTAGCTGCCATAATTTGGTCCAGTGGTTAAAAAGCAAGCTAAAACAGAGGACTATGAATTCTAGTCCCATCTTAATCAGGAAAGCTGACTGGGTGACTTTGGGCCAGTCACTTTCTCTCAGCTCAACTCACCTCACAGTACGGGGAAAATAGGAGAAGGAGGATCAGATAGGTATGTTGCCTTGAGTTAGTTATAAAAATAAAGACTGGTTAAATAAAATAAATTTACATTTCCCCCAGGTTTTCTTATATTTACCATCTACCATAGAATAAAGAAACTATTGCATACACATACACAAATATATACATGCATATGTGTACACATAATAGTTTATTTTAAACATTTGGTTCACACACACATGCACACACACAGAGAGAGAGAGAGAGAGAGAGAGAAGGATGACCTAACACAGGGTTGTCAAACTGCTGGCCCGTGGGCCGGATGCGTCATGCCGAAACCACACCCACCCCATTCTGGCAATGGCAAAAAAGTCACGATACGTCATGACATGTCATGTGATATTGTGAGTTTGACATCTCCAGCCTAAAGGAACCAATGCTGGGAGGGGGGAATATAGATCTGCTGCTTCCCCCACCTATCTTCCCAAGCATTTTTCCTGGAAGCTCCCTTCTTAGAAAAAACAATAGCACTATTCACTATCCAGTTGGTTGGCCCTCTATCCAATAGTCTTTTTACTGAGAGAGCTTCCAAATGATGCCGTATGAGACAGTCATGGTGGCTAGCTTTATAGCTGCCATAGCCATCATTTTGAGGTCCCTTTCCTGTCATTTTGAGGTCCCTTTCCAAAAGTGATATCCTATGTTGGAATGACATTCTGCTCTGAAGAAGTGCCTGTTTTAGGAGCAATGAGGCAACTATTCTGGGCAGAATAGTTCATGGTGCCTTAATCACAGTTTATAGCTTTAAGTAACTGTTTCCTTTGCTTAATCAAAGGGCTAGCTCAGAAGTAAGCTTTGCTATATACAGTAGGGATTGCACTCAGGATATAGATAGTTTTTTTTAAAAAAAAACCTCAGTATTCATTCATTCTTTTTATATACTTCTCTTTCAATATCCATGTGAACATTATCCAGAATGCCTAGTACTTAGAGCATGCTGGCTCCTGTTCAAGAAAATAGAGTGCTGTACTCTCTGCCAAAAATAATGAGTTAGATGATGATAAGACAATAATAATCAATATATAAAGAGAAAAGGAAAGGAAAGAATAGCAATGATGGAAAGTAAAGATTGGCCCAGTTGGATTTTGTCTATAATTGCCAGCTGGTCAAGAACATAATGATCATCTAATTTAGTTGAACAAATAATCCATTGGCTTATGACAATGTCCTGTGTTACCATTTCCTTTGCCATATGGGAAGCTATGTTATTAAAATATATCACCAGTTGCCAATTCTGCCAACAGCTCAAATGGATGTATTCAGACTATGTTCACAGGATACCCAGAGACTTGACAATTCTGGGAAGACACACTGACAGTGCATAGTTTGGGAGAAGTTAATATGTTAGAAATGTATTTCTCAGATAAACTTCATGTTTCTTTCTATGCCTTTCTGAAAGGCATCCTCTCCCCTAGGTGTGCCTGGATGAAATTTGTTGGGATGTTTCTGAGATGAACCCACGCAACCTGATCTCTGCTTTCCTCTCCAGGTGGGCGAAGGCTGTGGAAGCCCAATCTATCACCTGAGATCCCCTCTTCATGACTCCCTCCATGCCTCATCATCTCTCCCTGGTTCCTCAGTCTTCACTCGCACCATTGAGTTTTCCTTTGATGCCTCAACAGTACAGAGGTCCCTGGAACAGGAAGAGTTTTCCTCCTCTCCTCTCATCCGTTACCGACCCCTGACCAACACCCCCTCCCAGGAGGGCTTGGGGAGCACACCCACCAGCTCTTCGCCCAGGTCCTGTCCCAGCTCAGACAGCTCACCCATCTATGCAAGAAGAGAGAGGCATAGTGAAGGTAAAAGCTGGCTTAAAACATTTGAAATTGGGGAAGGATGAAAGAAGAGTTACAAATGCTATAATTGTGAAAAGCAAATTCAGCTCCTCTCAGACCGATTGGATGCAAAGGATATTTGGGATTTTGAGTTTAAACCACTCTGCACCAAAGGTTCTTGCCTGGATGTGAAAGAGAAGCAGCTATTGAAATGTCCTCCTTAGTACTGTTATTAGAAGATAACAGTTCTCTCCTTTCCATATAGTTACTCAGCTTACTTGATAATGCTAAGAGGGTCCCAGTCATCTGTCTCTACTACCCAAAAACACTTGAGTAAGCTCTAGCACCAGTTAAAATGTTAACATTTTTTTTGAACAATAAAAGTATTCGGAATTCCTCTCTCCAAATGGAAGAAAATACATATACATGCTGGCTCCCTTGTGGTTATAATTACAGTTCTATCATATTATGAAATAGGGCACAGCTAGGCCATTTTCAGCCTACAGTTAGGTGCACCTGTCCTGAAATCTTTTCCCAAGATGCTGAAGGGCCTTTCTTGTTGGGGTCAAGGAAACTATATCTTACATTTTTATTGATTATTGGTTTATTTGTTAACATTATCTTCTGGGTTTAATTGCATGTTTTGACATGAAATTGCTGGCTGCTGATGCTTTATTGTGGCTGTACAAAAATATATTTAGTAAATAAACAACTAACACATGGACATTTTGTATTTTAATTGTGGCCTCAGATCCTGTGGGGGAGCAACCTATCTCGCCATATGGGAGACTTTAGGGGCAAAGTAAATGCCTTAAGCTTTGTATTTCATCCCTTAAATATATCCAATTCCTCCAATTAGATCTGTTCTTTTCACGAGAGCAAAATCTTCCCCAAATAAAAAAGAAAAAGGAACAAATATATATTTGAACATACCCATTCTGATATTGTCAAGATATTATTGGGTAAGCAATCTGAGGCTCTTGGATTTGGCCCCATATAATTTTTTTTAGAATGCCACATTTAACTCTTTAAAGCTTCCCTTCCAACTCCTTCCCACAATTTTATTTTACTGCTTCCTCTCTCATAAAAACTTTGGATTGTTTTCAGTTATAACTTTCATTATATTATTTAGTTATTCTATTTATATAATGTTCTCTAACAAGGATGAGGATGATTGATGAGGCAATCAATCAGTCATTACTTATCTTGATTGGCTCCAACGGGATGCGCCAATTACAGAATGTCCAGTTGTGAATGGCAGTTTCACAGGTAGAGAAGAGGAAAAAAGAGTTTTCTCAATGGTCTTCTGAGGAACTATATCTTTCATTAGCTCTGAAGCTGGATACACATATTGTGTAATGTCATAAAAAAGACTTTAGCTAACAGTTTCGAGTGAACACAGTCATTCTTCAAAGTAAAACACAGATGATGTTTTAGCACAATTGTGGCTTAGTCAATAAATTATGAGTATACAAACTGGCTTGGCACTCTGTGTAAACCCAATCTGAATCACGTGTGTGTGTGTGTGTGTGTATGTTTGTATTTTTTGCTATGCTTAAGTGTTATGCAGCAATGATTTCTTTAACATTTGCAAGACCAGAACAAGCACTTAATTCAAATTCACTTCAATAGATCCTATTAAATCTTCCTATAGGCAAGATAGTTTTATGCATGAACATCTCATGGGACTTATTCATGAACTGTAAATTCATTCAGAACTTAGACTCAGAACCCTTTTTAACCAGATCCAGAGCAGCAGTGAGATGTACCCCCAAGCACATTCAAAAGAACCCATTTCCTAAATAGAATCTCTTGGAATAAAAGGCAGACTTTTAATGGCAGGTAGCTCAGTTGTACATTAGGTTGCTCTTTTCTGAAATAAGCCACTGACTCCCTTGCCTCTTTTCCAGATGACAGCAGGGATGCTAGTCCTCCAGAACTGGAAAGCCCCACAATTGGGCTTGACAAGAAAACACGCCGGAAGTTTCTGGATTTGGGGTGAGTCCTAGAGATTGGGTTTAGTAAGAAAAACAATGTACAGTATATGACCCAAATTATTTTCTTGGAGTTTTCCATATGGTAATTTCTACTCCTAC